TAATATGAGAAAATGGAAACAAAGTCTTTGTAAATAGGGAGGGATGGAGGGGTTGAAGGGAGGGGAGGGGAATGGGGAAAAAATAAGAACCAAGATGCCAGGGATTTAGCTCAGTGGTGCCGCCGCCTGCCTTGCAAGCACAAGTTCCCGAGTTCAATTCCCGGTACCAAAAAAAAAATAAGAAGAAGAACCAAGAGAGACTATGTAAAGGTGCAAATTTCCAGTGATGAATGTCATTATATTGTATACCTAAAATGTACCAATAAAATTAATTTTTAAAAAATATTCCATCTCTGAAAAAATACTTAAGAAAACAATTTAAAATGAAAAAAGATTTGTTTTGGTTCAGTTTTTAGTCTATGGTCAGCTGGCTCCATTGCTTTTAGGCCTGTGGTGAAGCAGAAATATTCTAACGAAAGAGCATTGCAGGGGAAAGCTGATAAATTCATGTCTGTCAGGAAGCAAAGAAGGGGGGGGAAGAAGCAGAGCTGAAAGTGCGGGGACAGGGTATAGTCCTCAAGGCCACACCCCCCGATCCAATCACTTCAGCTGGGTCACGTCTCTTATTGACATCACCTCCCAATAATGCCATCGAATTATGATCTTTGCTGGGCACGGTGGCACACACTGTATTCCCAGCACTCTGGAAGGCTGAGGCAGGAGGATTCCAAGTTCAAACCCAGTCTGGGCAACTTGGTGACTTAATGAAACTCTGTCTCAAAATAAAAGAAAAAAATGTTAAGGGCTGGGGATATAGCTCAGTGTGAAGGCCCTGGGTTCAATCCCCAGTACTCAACTTTTATCTCACAATGGATGAATCCACTGAAGAAGTTAGAGCCCTAGTGATCCAATCACCTTTTGAAAGCCCCACCTCTGAACACATGAAACTTTGGGGGGACATATTAGATCTAAACCATAACTCCCAGTATCCCAAATAAAGCCCAAGATAGCATTTAATTTCTGTCCAGAGAAGAACCTTGGGGCTTTGGTTCTTCTACTGTAGTGTTTCCAATTGCATTTGTTGTCTATTATTATCAAATTACAAAATTTACACGAGTGCAGCTACCTATAAATTTAATTCTCCTCCATACCCTAAAAGGTAGCTGGCATGTATCCCATTTTTAGAGAAATAGCCAAGATAATATAGCCCAAAGTCATTTTTTTTTTGGTACTGGGGATCAAACTCGGGACCTTGTGCTTGCAAGGCAGATTCTGGAAGCACTGAGCTGAATTCCCGGCCCTCAGAATCATTTTAATTTTTATCAAGGTCAAATCCAATTGAGAAGCAGAGGTCATTTAATAACATAGATGAATCTCATAGTTACTAAATCAAGTGAAAGAAGCCAGATAAGAAAGAACACATACAACTGGCAAAATTAATCTGTGGTAAAAGAAGTTAGCACAGTGATTACTTCTGCAAGGGTGGTATAGCCTGGAGAGAGGCATGATGGAGCCTTCCAGGATGCTGGAAAGTTCTGTATCTCGATTTCAGTGGGAGTTCCACAGGCACGGACATATGTAAAAGCTTTAGATTTGTGTGCACTTTAGTGTATTTAAACTATCTCTCAAAAAAAGAGGTCACAGTTTTACCAGAAGTGGTTTTTCTTTTTGGTGCTGAGGATTGAATCCAGGGCCTCATGTGTGTTATACACATGCTATACCACTGAGTTACAACCCCAACCCCGAAATCTTAAAGAAAATTTCAGATGCTGTTTTGAAGTTGCAAGGCCCCAAATTAATAATAGCCTTTATTTATTTAGATAGATCTGAGCAAATATTTTATAGCAGTTATCACAAATATTCACTTAATCCATTCTTACTCTATATGTTGACATAAAATTGCCCTTAAAAAGGATAAACAACAACAAAAATCCAAAGCCTAAAACCTTGAAAGATTTGCTTTAACAGTTGCAAGTACTGTCAGTTATATCCTTGGAACTAAGAATATTTTTATAGGAAGTTATATGTGTTAGAGTGTTCCCTTGAAGTTGTAGACTCTAATTGGTATGAGGGATTGATTTTAATCAAATACCTTTGATGACCTGGATGGCCGTGACTCCAATCTAATTTGAAATAATCCAATCGGCCCAGAAATGACCATGTACTTCTAAGGATTAAGAGCACAGTTAAAGGGACTTCTCCTTGAAAAGACATTTGGAAAACATATATTACAAAAGAGAAGATTAACTTAAAACACAAAAGAGAAGCTTAAAGCTGAGGGGTGAGATAACTAGGGTTACAGGGCTACCAGATGTGCCAAGCAAGCCCGGAGCTTAGGCTCCTGCTTCCTGAGTTCTTATTCTTTCCACAGATCCATGGCTTCTCTGATTTCTTAAATCCTACTTTGTATTTAAAGTGGCTTTGTGCATAGAAAAGGTCTGCATCAGAGTCAAATCTTTAACCATGGCATTAACTGGGGAATTAGAACTACAAATTTGGAGCCAACAGGAATGATCGTCCTTTAACATGAATCCACGTCAAGGCTTTATATTATTGTAGCCCTATGATTTCTCACTGTCATATTGTTCATAATTTGAACTACATAATCCTAAGACTCAACTTTGATCTTATCTTCTTTATCATGTAAGGAGTTTGTACAAATGAAAGCACGATGTTTGAAAACACTGCCTCACTTGCAAAGATAAAGTTTAGCTATATTATTAGAGAGTCTAAGAATATTTTAAGTTTGAAAAAAAGAAAAAAGTCTGCATCAATGTAATAAAATTGAATATTAACAAGAGAAGGATGCCCCACTCTTCCCCAAGAAAAGTTTTTTATCTGAAAGTTTAAAAACACATTCCTCACTAATTCTTGGGTTAGAAAAAGAACTGAAAGTGGAACCATTCTATTTCTAAGTAAACAGGAATGCTACAGAGCAAAATCCATAGGTTGTGGCCAAATTGAAAGACTAAAATACAATAATTACAAATGAGAAATATAGAAGATAAACTAAATTTTCAATTCTGGGAGCAAGAAAATGGAAATGAACCTGAAGGAAAACAAAAGGCAGGAACAAGTTGGAAGAAGAAATAACAGAAAATCAGAAAAACCAAGACTGAGTCTTAAAACTCAAACTTATATATGGCAAATATATTATAACCCTACAGCCAGTATCATACTCCAATGGTGATACAAGTATTCTCATTGTATCAGCTATGATACTTTTGATTGCAAACAAGAAAATTAATTCACAGGGATTATTTTTCTAAAACACAGAAAGTATTTTTGTTTTATGTATTAGTATTCTCCAGAGAAGCAGGAACAATAAGATGTGTATACAGACAGAGAGAAAGAGATATCTCCATACTGAGTTCCACAGTGGTTGCACCAGTCTACACTCCCACCAGCAGTGGAGCAGGGTTCCTTTTTCTCCACAGCCCCGCCACCATTTGTTATTGGTTGATTTCATGATAGCAGCCATTCTTTCTGGAGTGAGGTGAAATCTCAGCATTGTTTTCATTTGCATCTCTCGAATGACCAGTGATGGTGAACATTTTTTCATAAGTTTATCTGCTGTTTCTACTTCTTTGTCTGAGAAATGTCTGTTCATTTTGGGAAATCAGTATGGAAATATCTCAAAAAACTAGAATTAGAGGTCCCATTTGATCCAGCTATTACCCTGCTGGGTATCTTCCCAAAAGAATTAAAAGAATCATACCACAGCGATATATGTGTACCCATGTTCATAGGGGCACAGTTTGTAATAACTAAAACTTGGAAACAGCCCAACTGCCCATCAACTGGAGACTGGATAAAGAAGATGTGGGCTTTTTTATAAAATAGAGTACTATTCAGCCATAAATAATGAGAAAATAGAGACATTTATAGCTAAATGGATGCACATTGAGGCCATCCTCTTAAGTGAAATAAATAGGACACACGTGTAAATACCGAATAGTTTCTCTGGTGTGAGAAACTGAAAATGTAAATGAGGATCAAAATCTATAATGGATAATTTGAAATAGGAAGAAAAGGTCCAAAGGGGAAGGGGTAAGGGAAGGGAAAGGAATAAATATGAGAAAAGGAAAAAATGGAAACAAATCTTTGTAAATAGGAAGGGGTGGAGGGGTTGAAGGGAAGGCAGGGGGATGGGGAAAAGAACCAAGATACATCATGTAAAGGTACAAATCCCCAATGTTGAATGTCATTATATTGTATACCTAAAATGTACCAATAAACTTAATGAAGAGAGAGAGAGAGAGAGAGAGAGAGAGAGAGAGAGATTTTAAGATTTGCTTACATGATTATGGAAGCTGCAGGGTAGGCCAAAGTTTGGAGACCCAGGGAAAATCTGATACTGCCTTTCAAGTTTGAAGGGCTTCCACTAGCAGGATATTCCCTCTTGCTTTGCTGGGAAGTCAGTCTTCTGCTCTATTCAGGCCTTCAACTGGTTGGATGAGGCCCACATACATCACAGAGGACAATCTGCTCCACTCAAAATCCACTGCTTTAACCCCAAAGCACCTTCACAAAAACATCCAGAAAAATGCTTGATCAAATATCCGAGCACAGTGGCCCACACAAGTAAACATGTAAAATTAACAAATCCAAGTCCACCCCTTGTGAACTTGGCACCCATACACACCTCCTTGCACCATACTCTCCAAATACCATAACAAGGTCATAATTCCACCTACCATGACGCAACCATCCTGAGTACACCTGGAAAACCCACTAATATTTTGCTCAGAAGAGGTAAAGTCTTTGATATGTAATACCATAATTTCAATACTATGGTGTAAAGGTAATAATACTTAAACGGCACGATATAAGATGAAGACACCTTATGTTTCGTGAGAAGGGGATAAGAGAGGGAATAAAACAAAGCTATTTTACACTCACTGTTTTGAGTGAAACTGAGTTGTTTTTTCTCTACATAGCTGGTAGCTACTGCCTCAGCCCCTCTCAAAGGTCAGATTGCAAGTGCAGCTTCCAGCTTCCGTGACACAAACACAATGTGAAAGTTTGAGTTTTTAGTATTTACAGATCCTCAAGTAAACAAGCAGAGAGGGACAGACACTAGTCCCTCATCCCCATGTGTAGAAGTACAGTTCATGGACCAAGTCCAACTAGCTACTCTTCTAAATAAGTTTGCTTGGGACATGGCTGTCCCCATCTGTTTACATAGTATCTGTGGCCACCGATGCACTACAGTGGCAGAGGTGAGGAGCTGCGACATAGAGACTGGATTGCCCCAAAAGCCTAAGATATGGGGTACCTAGACCTTTAAAGAAAAAGTTTACTAGCCAGGAGTGGTAGTGCACACCTGCAATCCCAGCACTCGGGAGGCTGAGGCAGGAGGATTGCCATGAGTTCAAATCCAACCTGGGCTACATAGTGAGTTCAAGTCCAGCTTGAACTGCATAGCGAGACCCTGTCTAAAAAAATAATTTAAAAATGAAAGAAAAGGATAGAAAAAAATTACTGAACACTACTCTAAATAAACTTTATTTTTATGTTCAATTTTTATTTTTATTGTATTTTTAATTTTTATTGGCACATGCTTGCAGTTCATGCAGTTTACAATCATTTTGGGGATTGGTTACATGTACAAACTACAGTTTGTTTCTTTTTTTAATCCTCTTCCTCTTCCCTCCTCCTCCCTTCCTCCCCCTCCAGTTCCCCTATCCCATTTTTATTCTTGTTGACATTATTAATCTTAGCTCATGTGATGCCGTATAATATTTACAGTCATTGAGGTTAGTAGGTTCCTGTACATGTCACATCTTAATGCTACTTATTTACCTTTCTCTTCTTCCTCACCCCTTGCCCTTGTTCCCTTGGTCTACTTCTGTATTACAGAAGATCCATCCCCTTGGCCCCTTCTATCCATCCTTTATCATTCTCTTTGTTTGTGCTTTGCCTCACTCAAATGAGAGATATCATACAGTATCTAAGCTTGTGTGTCTGGTTTATTTCATTCAACATTATATTTTCCAGGGGCATCCATTTTCTTACAAATGTGTCAAATTTGTCATTCTTTATAACCAAGTACCATTGCGTTATATATAGACACCACATTTTCTTTATTCAATCATCTGTTGATCAATATCCAGGCTGCTTCCAGGATTTAGCTATTACAAATTGTGCTGCTATAAACACATGCATGTATCACTGTATTACGATGACTTAAGCTCTTTGGGGAAGATACCTAGTAGGGGAATAGCTGAGTCATATGGAATTTCTAATTTTGGTTCTTGGAGAAATCTCTATACTGATTTCCATAATGGTTGTACTAGTTTACATTTCCACCAGCATTGAAAGAGGGTTCCTTTTGCACCAAATCCTAGTCAGCATTTGTTATTGTTTGATTTCTTATGATTGCCATTCTTTCCAGAGGAAGATGCAATCTTAGCATTGTTTTAATTTGCATCTCTAATGGCCAGAGATGTTGAACATTTTTTCATATATTTGTTGACCATTTGTATTTCTTCTTCTGTAAAGTGTCTGTTCGTTTCTCTTGCCCATTTCTTGACTGGGTCTTTAATTTAAGTGGTTTACTTTTTTAGTTCTTTGTATATTTTAGATATACAAAGAACTCTGTCTGAGGAGTAGCTGGCAGAATTTTTTTTCCATTCTATAGGTTGTTTCTTCACTCTGATTCCTTTGCTGTATAGAAGCTTTGTAGCCTGATATAATCCCATTTGTTGATTTTTGCTGTTATTTCTTGTGTGATTGAGGTTCTGTTTAGAAAATCCTTTCCTACACCTATGTCTTCAAGTGTTTTACCTATTTTATCTTCCAGTAGGTTTAACGTTTCTCTTTTAATGCTTAGATCTTTGATCCATTTGATTTTAATTTAGGACATGGTGAGAGACAAGGGTCCAGTTTCACTCTTCTGCACACAGATACCCAGTTTTCCCAGCACTGCTTGTTGAACAGGCTACCTTTCCTCCAACTGCTGCTTTTGGCCCTTTGTCAAAGGTCAAATAGCAGAATGTGTCCAGGTAAGTTTCTGTATCTTCAATTCTGTTCCATTGATCCATGTATCTGTTCTTGTTCCAGCACCTTGCCATTTTTATCACTATTATTTTGTAGTATAGCTTGAAGTCCGGTATTGTTATGCCTCCTGCTTTTCTCTTGTTGCCCAAACTTGCTTTTGTTAAATTGGGTCTCTTCTGGCTCCATATGAATTTTAGGATTATTTTTTCTAGGTCTGTAAAGTATGCTGTTGGTATTTTGATTGAAACTGCATTGAATCTGTATAACAGTTTTGGAAGTATGGCCATTTTGGCAATATTGGTCCTGCCTATCCAGGAACAGGGTATATTGTGCCATTTTCTGATGTCCTCTTTAATCTCCTTTTGCAGGGTACTGTAGTTTTCTTTGTGGAGGTCCCTCACTTCTTTGGTTAGGTTAATTCCTAAATATTTCATTTTTCTTGAAGCTACTATGAATGGGTTTTATAATTTCTTTTTCATACATTTCACTATTTGGTGTATACAAATGCTAATGATTTTGTGTATTGATCTTGTATCCAGCTACATTGCTAAATTTGGTTATTAATTCTAGAGGTTTTGGTGGAGTTCTCTGGGTCTTCTATGCAGAGTATCATGTCATCTGCAAATAATGATAATTTGAGTTCTTCCTTTCCTATATGTATCCCTTTTATTTCTTTCTCTTGCTTAATTGCTCTGGCTAATGTTTCAAGTACAATGTTGAGTAGAAGAGGTGATAGTGGACATCCTTGTCTTGTTCCTGATTTTAGGGGGAATGCTTTTAGTTTTGCTCCATTTAGTATGATGCTAGCTATTGGTTTGTCATAAACAGCTTTTATCATAATCAGGTATGGTCCTTCTATACCTGCTTTTTCAGAGCTTTTATTATAAAGCAGTGTTGGATTTTGTCAAAAGCCTTTTCTGCATCTATTGATATGATTATATATATATATATATATATATATTTTTTTTTTTAACCTTGCTTCTGTTAATGTGATAATATCTTTTTGAGGATTTTTGCACCTATGTTCATTAAGGAGATTGATTGGCCTATAATTTTCTTTATTAGTTGAGTCTTTCTCCAGTTTTGGGATCAGGGGTTATACTGGCTTTCATAAATGAATGTGAGAGTACTCTGTCCCTTTCAATTTCTTTGAAGAGCTTGAAGAGCATTTGTGATATAAAATCCTTAAATGTTCTGCTGGGTGTGGTGGCATATGCCTGTAATCCCAGCATTCTGGAGGCTGAGGCAGGAGGATCGCTTTGAGTTCGAGGACAGCCCAAGCTACATAGTGAGTTTAGGACCAGCCTGAACTACATAGTGAGACCCTGTCTCAATAATAAACAAATAAACAAAAACCAAACAAACAAACAAAGATTTTGTAGAATTCAGCAGTGAATTTTTCAGGTCCTGGGCTTTTTTTAGTTGACAGGTTCTTTATTACAGTGACAATTTCATTGCATGTTATTGGGTTGTTAAGCATATTTGTGTCTTCTTGGGTTAGCTTTGGTACTTTGTATGTGTCTAGGGATCTGTCCATTTCTTCAAAATTTGCTAATGTGTAGGAATATGATTTTTCAAAGTACTTACTATCTTTTGGATTTCTACAATGTCTGCTGTAATTTCACCTTTTTCATTTCTAATTTCATTGGTGTAAGTCTGTTCTCTGCTTCTCTTGGTGAGTTTGGCTAAGGGCTTGTCTGTTTTATTTATTCTTCCAAAGAAAGAGCTCTTCAATTCATTTATTTTTTTGCTTTTCTTTTAGTCTCAATTTCATTGATTTCTTCTCTGATCTTTATAATTTCCCTCCTTAATTTCAGTTTGGGGCTTGTTTGTTGTTTCTCAAGTATTTTAAGATTTTTTCATTAGTTTATTTATTTCAGCTTGCTCTGTTTTCCTAATGTGAGCATTGATTGTGATGAATTTTCCTCTCAAAACTGCCTTCATAATGTCCCAAAGATTTCAGCAAATTGTATCATCATTATCATTAACTTCCAGAAAATTTTAAATTTCATCTTTGATTTCCTCTGTAATCCATCATTTGTTTACAAGTGAATTGTTGATTCTCTAGGAGATTTTGGCTTTTCCAAAATTTCTTCTGTCACTGATTTCTATTTTCATTGCACAGTGGTAGTATGCATGGGGTAATTTCAGTTCTTTTATATTTACATAGCCAGGCTTTGTGTATTGGTGTGTGATCTATTTTGGAAAAAGTACCATGTGCTGCTGAAAAAAATGTATACTCTGTTATAGTGGGGTGGAATACTCTGTATGTATCTATTAAGTCCATATATTCAAAGGTGCAGTTCAGCTCTACTATTTCTTTATCAGTTTTTGTTTAGTTGATCTATTTCTTAGAGAATGTAGGATGTTAAAATTCCATACTATGTTTGTGTTAGTGTCTATTTGATCTTTTAATTTCAGCAGTTTTTGTTTTGTGAAGAAAGGTGCTCCAGTATTAGGTGTATGCATGTTTATCAATGTTATCTCTTCTTGTTAGATTGTTCCCTTAACTAGTA